ATTCATGTGAGTTATAATTTGAAAGTATCTATTTAGCAAAGGAAAAAGCAAAGCAGTATACTTAAACCAGCAGATATTGACCTGGGTTTTCGCACGACTGTTCCTGTTTCATCGTTTCTTTTTAGGAAATTGTGACCATCATATACATATGTATTATTTACACTAGTAACTATTTATGTAAATATATATGTTTTTTTTTAATGCTTAATATATGCAAATAAAAGACGAAAGTAAACAACAACTATCGAGTAAATTTTTATTTGTGTCAAACTGAAACTTTTTTCCAATAATAAACGGTTAGCTGATTCACGTCTACAGCAAGTTCACCTAATTAATTGAAAACTTGTATCAACCAAAGCATTGTTTATATTTGTTCAACAAAGATTTTATTCAACTAACAATATTGTCCACTCAAGGTAGTCGTTTTGTAATTATTAACAAATATACATTTGTCCCAACTAGAAGTCTCAAGTAAATAGCAGACTTTTGTGAGCTATGTAGATATTTATTTCGCCATATACAACTATACCACTTGGTCACTATAACCAAATCTTGGTAATTATAACTAAACCTTTTTCTGAGTGCAAAGAATGGCTTTAATAAGGATTAGAGACATGTGCTAACTTTTAGTAGTTAGTTCTGTCGTTATATCAGAGGACCACCGATTTGTACAATAAATATCAACGAAGCAGCGCAATATAACCAAAACCCGGCAGGAATGGAAATTTTTAACAAAATTCTGTATGTTAAAAAACGTGGCTGCCAGCCGAATCGGATCAGAATATTGTTATTTTTTTTAAAAGCACCCTGTTTTTTATAAGCATTCGTATCTCAGATAGTTACGAAATTCTTATCTTATTAAAGGTCAGACCTATAGCTTTTTAATTATTTTAGCATCCCCAACCAACATTTAGGTTTGAGCTCAACTTGAGGTTAAGTTGAGAACTAAGGTATTTCTCAAATCTCCAACGTTGTTTCTCAACAGTACCTCAAGTGGAGGATCATAGCGTTCTCAACAAAAAGGGCATTTTTTTTTTTTGTATAAAAACTGATTTTAAATTATTTTCTTAATAAATCTTTAAAATCTTTGTGTTTTGCTGCAGCTACTTCAAAAGATATTTATTTTTTAGACACATATGACTTAAATATGATGCAAACCAAGCCTACGTGCATTTTTTGGATTCTTGGACTAAGGATCCCGTGTTCAAAGGCTGGTTGTGTAAACACTTGAGGTTACGAGGCTTGTTGTAATGTTTGCAATTGCACATTAAAAGCCAAATCAGGAAGAGCCGAGCCTTTTTAAGACTTTATTGAAAATGTAATGAACGCAAAAAGGGCTAAAGTATTGCTATGCTCCCTCTTAGCAGAGCGTAGTTTACCATTTGCGACAACCGAGCCCCTGACCAAATGTCTACAAGAAAAAAAAAATTATTAAAAATCAACGCGATTATTTAGCCCCTTTAAACTTGCACATTATTGCCCTGAAATTTAATGGGCTATCAAACTGCATACTCAAAAAATTCTAAAAAATCTGAATAAAATGTTGAAAATCTAGCTGAAAATTTGCAGATTTTTTATAATTTTTGCACAAAGTTTGAAATGTGGATTTATATTTTGTTTGTCATATAATGAGATTGGCTTTTGTTAAAAATAATACACATTAAATAAACAAAAGAGAAACAGCCAAAATCGATCAATATGTTGATGACTTAATCAGCTGATCACAAGTGTATGTATAAAATGATTTTTATATTAACGATCTCAAACCAGTTTACAATGAATTTTAAATGTGTTCTGTCGATATGACATTTTAATATACCTTACGTACATATGTACCTTTGTATGCAATAAAAGTTTAATAAGAACAATTTATTTAAAAAAAGACGTTATTGGGTAGGAAATGACGTTTTTTCAGACCAAGAGGGACGTTTTCTCATGCCGAAGACCTGGCAACACTGAATGTAATTCTCCAATTGGTCTCAAACATATCATTGAAATACTGAAATTGAAATAGTAAAATACCTTATACCTTTTTGATTGAAACGACATACATAGATGAATTTAAATATTAATTTTTCATTTTATTACTCCTTTTGTATTATGTAGTTAATCAATATCGTATTACAATAATTCACTTCACAGTATGTATACAGTCCACAGTAATTTTGCCACTTGATTCACTTCGCCTTTTAATTTATTTCCAGCTTATTTGAGGATACTTTGAAAACTATTTACTTTTTGTTGGTAATTTTCCTTTTTATATAGCTTTCGTTTTTCACTTGATAATTAAAAATTTGTTTCTTTACCACTTTTTACATATCTGCGCGTCGGTTAGAGATGAGTTGGAGAATGATGTTGGATATCAACTTGAGAACTATTAATTTCTCCAAGGTTGGAGAAATAATTTTTTGGTGTTTATTGGTTCGATTCTCTTAATAGCCAGACGTTGATAATTTCTGCTGGAAATCCCTATTGAAGGAGCTTACTCTTTAACTTTAAATAGCAAAGAAGAGACAGTTTTACGACAGAAGTTTTTAGCTAAGGATTCAATGTAATGTATGTATATCCCTATGAATAGTGCACACTTCTTCTTTTGTGTCTAGTAGTTTTTTTAAGATTGATCCAAAAAAAAATCATAATAAAAAAAGAAACCAATGCAGGTATTTAAAGCACAGAAAAAAAATTCGTTATTAAGACTATGTTCCCATTCAGTAGTAAAGTCTTCTCTCGACGTACGAAAACCACGCTCTATAAGTCACTCATCATGCCCGTGCTGGTATATGGCGCAGAAGCCTGGATAATGACAACATCCGATGAGGCGGCTCTTGGAGTGTTCGAGAGAAAGATTTTGCGGAAGATTTACGGGCCTTTACGCGTTGGCGATGGAGAGTACCGCAGACGATCGAACGATGAGGTGTATGAGCTTTACAACGACATGGACATAATGCAGCGAATTAAAATACAGCGGCTCCGCTGGCTTGGCCATGTCGTTAGAATGGACACCGACGCTCCAGCTCTGAAAGTATTCAACTCGGAACCCGCTGGTGGTAGCGGAGGAAGAGGGAGGCCCCCACTGCGGTGGAAAGATCAGGTGTAGAAGGACTTGGCTTCACTTGGCGTTTCCAATTGGCGTCAGTTGGCACAGAAGAGAAACGACTGGCGTGCTGTGCTGAACTCGGCCAAAATCGCTAAGGCGGTTACAGCGCCAAATAATAAGAAGAAGAAGACTATGTTCCCTTTGACGTATGTACGTCAAAGGCCAAGTAGAAGTTGGAACTTCTATGACTGCCCATTGATAACGCGGTTATATAGCTTAAGAAATAATATGTTTAACGATATTTTTGTCAAAGTTGATAAATATGACATTTGACCAGTTTTGTTACACAAATACTCCCACGACTACAGGCAAAAATGTTGGCTATAATTTGTCATTTTGTTTGCCATATATACGTTTTATCGGTGCACTTGCACAATATTCGCATTCGCAAACGCTCCGCATTGATTATTGCGAATGCGAATGTTAAAATTAATGCGGAAGTTCCGCAGTTGCGAATG